GTGTTGCACGCTCATTTGTCAGTGATTTGAATGCCCATACTATGTACATGCCCATGGAGAATTAAGCTTTGACTAGCCTGTGGCTCCTGCTTTTCAGTCTGTGACAATGTGTCCCCTTAATTACACACAAAGGTTATTATTTATTTGATGTAGTATTTTTCAGTGATGGCCTTGAGCCAACTAGTAACACTGTTGGGAACTCTGTTTGGGTACATTATTAGTCATAAGTATTACTTTTTGTATGTACATGCCCATGGAGAATTAAGCTTTGACTAGCCTGTGGCTCCTGCTTTTCAGTCTGTGACAATGTGTCCCCTTAATTACACACAAAGGTTATTATTTATTTGATGTAGTATTTTTCAGTGATGGCCTTGAGCCAACTAGTAACACTGTTGGGAACTCTGTTTGGGTACATTATTAGTCATAAGTATTACTTTTTGTATTTTGAACCACTTGTTTATCCTTCAGTGAAAGCATCTACATAATTATAAATGTGAATTATTTCACACGCGAGTTAACTGAGATGCAGAGAAGTTGAGTATACTTTTCTAGGGTTTTGGTGACAGGGCTGCATAGAAAACAGAAGTCCTTGCTTTCAGTATCCTTTTCTAACTGTTATGAAACAACATCAGAATCAGCCTTTTTTCTTTTTTTTTTTTTAAGAGTTGCTAGCTCTAAAATTCAGCCTAAGCAAAATGTTAGCAAGCACTCAGGGAAGGATACTTTTCATTTCATCAATGCTTTCTCTTTCTCACCCAGACAGAAATGCATCTGCAGAGGATAATACACAACATGGCCAAAGGTTTAAGCAGCCCAAGGAGAGAGCACCATTGGTATATTTTGCTACAAGGTACGCAAAGCAAGCACCTCTTTTAATCAATCTAATTTATATAATTCAGACTGCAAACTAGAGAAAATAATCAAGTGAGAAACTATTGTAATTATGCAAAATCAACCAGTGAACTAATTGAAGTGACAATCTATCAACACAATTCATGTATTTCAACACTGCTACATGCAGTAATTATAGAGGGTTATCCTGGTGAAACCCTCCCGTTTTTTTACGGTGGGGGAACAAGGGGAACTGCACTTCCAGTGCTGCATTTTTTAAGCCTCGCTTGGAAAGCAGTGGAAAGGTAAGACGATATCAGTATTCATTTGGGGAACAAACCAGTGCCTATTCCAGTTAGCTAGAGCCTTTGCAATAGGCACTGGATCAGATGTTGGAAACTGCAAAGCCATCTGCTGTCCAATCCTGTGTCACTGGATTCTAGCAGAGGAACTTTTGTGTCAGGAGGTCTACAGGATCCAAACCGAGTCACTAGAGCACCTTACTGTTACATAAA